AGGCGAATACATGGGTTAAAATGTGAATAGATATAGGTTGTATGCAAGGGAAGAGGAGTATCTAAGAGTGAAAATGGATTGAGGGCTGATGGATAGAGGAATTTAAATTGAAGTCAACCAGGATCAAGGCGGAAAATATATATACGATCTATATATGCAGACCGTTCCTTTCCGTTTATATAGAAATACATTAATAATAACTTATATTCACATCCGTACAATCGTTTTAAATAAATCATTTTAAGTAATATTGCTGCAATTTTAAATGTTTGTTTAGTTTTTTCAAATTCTCTAGGTTTTCATTTTAATACCTGAATTACCTCTTCACTAAAGCTGTCTGCATATTTTTAACTTAAAAGTGTTTAAAAATACGCATTTGCATCACGCGATGTATTATGGACAGGGTCTCAAAGGAGCTCTAAATACTCTAAAGTGTTTTTTTTTATAAAAAGCATACAACGTTAATGTTTTGCCGGATTTTACTTATAAAACAAACTTTTTGCTGTACAGAAGATTAATTAGAAAATAGAAAATGATTAAATCATTCGCAATAAGTTTTAAGTCTTAATTATAATAATAATTGAGACTCACTGATGAATATTTTTTATAAATGCAAATCAAAATAAAACTAACAAATTTTATTCCCAAAAAAATTACACGCAAAATTTTTTTTACACGAATCTCTACGCGAAAATGTACAGCATGCACAAAAAAGTCCCGTTAAATAGCGTCGTATTTGGCGCTAGAGTCATCGATAACACCCGCTTCGATAAATTTGCATATAAGAAAAAATTTTATGTAGGAAAGCAAAAAATAGAAGCTAAAAATTCCTCAAAAAACTATGAAATCTGCTATTCTGGTATAAAACAGTTATTCGACATACTTACATTCTTGTTTGGGATTCAATCACATTTGCGTTACATTCCTCACAAGGATATATCCAGGACCCGACAACGAGCGCCGCCGAGTACAATGATAAGAGACCAACATAAACTAGAAATTGCAGAAAGAATTTCTGGTTGCGCTCACCCACACAATTATTTATCCATGGACAATGATGATCCATGCGTCGTATGCACCTTTTGCAAATCCTGCAATGATGCGCACGTGGTGGTCTATAGGTTTCACAACGTGTGCATACAGTCCATTCATTATGTCCATTTGCACCATTATTTTTACCAGTAGTATGCAGGTCCGAGAAGTCTAAGCGATTTGCAGGCAATGGTACTGTGCCAGGGTCCGAAAGAACTGCCTTGAGGTGTGACATACTCAACAGGAAAACGACTGTGTTGAATAGCACAACATGCAATGGCGCCCATATACTAATTGGAGAAAAAATTGCATTAACCAACATAATTATGGAAGTAATATTCTAATAAGAAAATACCTGGCCTGCATTGTCTGCATAATAATCCATCGCATTACAACATAGTCCGCATAGAAAACCGCACCGTAGGTAATAATAAGGCATACAATGCCGCACGGATCGCGCACAAACATGATTAATTCACTTTAAAAAAAATTAACAGTTAACAGTTAGTTTCTAGGAATGGTGATATTTGCGGCGTCAGTTCTGTACAAATTTTGACAAACAAAAGAAAATAATTTCAACATATCACATTCACCATAACTGACATATATATCTTTGTACTTTTAAATTTAATTTAATTTGATTTGAATTACATATAACATGAATTTTAATGTTTTCTCAAAATGTTCTTTATTTATGAAACCCGCAACACTCCACTACCACCTTCACACCTAGCATGATAGCTTACGAATGTCTTTGATAATTATTTGTCAGATATGTCATAAACTGACAAACAGAAATAAGTGTTGTAAAATGATAATTTCTTTGTAAGCATACTATGTCACAATCTATATACAGTATTTGTTAGACACATTTCTAATATGTTTCCATATCACAATTAAATACCCCATTTATGCGAGCATTAAAAATGTTGATTTTAAATTCACAAAAAAACATCTATTTAATTCATATTGGCAAATAATTGTAGTATATTTTATAATGTTGCTCATTCAGAAACAGTAATTAATCGCAATTTTATATAAATTTTGTTTCCAATATTTGTTTCTGTATACTCGTAAATCAAGACGCTGAAAGTTGTAGCAATATATTTTTATGTTTTGCTGTGATTTGTGAGAATTATTTACAATATCAACACCCTGTTCTAAATAGAGAAAATAGGGAAAAATGTAAAATTTCAGTGTTTTATTTTGAAATTTCCAACTTTCTTGCCACTCCTTTTAAGACCGTGAACGAGTTTAAGTAAACTGAAGTAAAGTAAATTGAAATTTCTAGAGATTTTCTACACTGCACATATGTAAATATTTTTTTTTATTTATTTATTGCACTTATTTATTATTTTTGATTGAAAGTTTTTAAATTTATTTATTATACATCTTATAAAATGTTCACAATGGTAACATCTAATTTACCTAATTTTTATCTCTTTCTACTTGAAATTCTGGTAACTACAAACATTCGCTGCCATAATTTACTACATCCCTCAATTTACCATAAAAGCACTTTTAGCTTATTAAAATGGTTTTAAAATTGCTTTAGTAATAGTCCATTTGATGAAACCGACTAATTACAATTAATCCAAGTATTAAAACTTTTCACAATAAATATTGAAATCGGCCATTTTGATTATTTGCAATTAACAAAACTTGTGTTGTTGTTTCTGTTCCTCTTGACTTTGAATCAAATTTATGTTCTATTTTGTCTCATTTACTATTACTTTTATTCTTAATAAGGATATTATCTAATAGGACACTTAACTAATTGCCTTTTCCAATTAGAGTCTACGAAATTACAAAATACGCTATTTTATACATTTCACAGTAAGCAGTTAGAATTTTTATGAAACATCACAACACACATTATGCGTTTTAAATTATTTCATAGTATACTTTCAGAGTAAAAAAAATATATATAACCATGCAATTTAGTTGCTGAGTTTAAACGCTATATAAGAAACATTTTTTTTAAATATTGAGAAAACATTTTAAAATTAGTTTTAAAATTTGAGTATCAGTTATCAGTCGACACCAACCTAACAACTACTTTTAATTTTAGTGTGCAACCGCTCTTAAAATTGTTTTTAAATAAGTTATAAAATAAATTTTTTAGACTTACCTTAACACAGCAGTTGAATCTCTACGCTGATTATTCCACAACTAACATTTGATTTTTATATCCACTGTAACTTTATTAGCAAATAGTGATTTGAACAGGAAAAAAAAGAATCACAAGTATTACAAAAAATTTTAATATAATTTCAAATTTAAATATTTTTCAATTATAAAAAAAAAATATTTAAAATAAAAAAAATATATGTATATGAATAAGTTGATAAATTTTTATTTGTCCTGTCATATTAAATTTCTAATAAAGCATGATATAGACGATGCTACATGTATGCATACCAAGTACGCCGTGCTATTAAATCGCACTGTGTGTATTCAAGTATGCATACCAAATTTCGGTCTGTAGAAATGTACGAGGTAAAATCATACCTTGTTTCAAAGTGTATAGTAAAAAACATACGTGGTCTGCATACTTGGAGTGAATACATGCAGCATTGTCTATATGTTGCTTAAGCAATATGGACATACATTGACAGATAACAATGCATAATATTTATGTTATTAATTATGGTTATTGTAGACATAATAGGTATATTAAAAATTCGGAAAGCTGTAACTTATCTTCAACAAAAAAGTTATGTGAAGAATGGAGTAGTAAATTATGTTAATTGTTACTTAACTTCTTGAAAACTAACATAATTTACTACTGCATACATGCGTAGCACAACAAATGTAAAGTATTCCGAAACTATTTTATTATCTGTCATAGTCTGATGGATTTGAAACAAATTTCAAAATATACTTTCAAAATAAATATCTAAGAACAATATGATCAGTCTATTTTAATTTTATAAACTACAATCTACTTATTTGTGTTAATATAATTTTATTAACTATTAAGCACAATAACTATCACATTTCAGATGAGTCTAAAAACAAGTGTGATAATTTAGTCAAACACTTGAGTTTCTGTTAAGTGTATAATGGCCGTGTCCAATTGATAAAAAATATTTGTAACTTCGCGTTATAATAACAATGTAATATGTATATTATTAGGACGTTGTATATATGACATTGTTTTGTGAACACTAGAGTCCCGAAACAAAAAAATATGTATATGTTTGATATGTCTTTAAGATAGCTTACTCACTTAAAATACTACTAATACCCACATTCTACCATCATATGTCACAGATCCCACTAACTTCAGATAACTGCCACTGAGCAACATTTATTCTGCTTATAACTCCGACACATCGAAAAATTTGACAGAACTTTGCTTAGCAACTGTGCAAATAGACATAGATTATTAATAGTTAAATGTTAATAGTTGAAAAAAAAATATATTAAAAAAAAGGAAATAGCTGACATTTTGCTTAATTTCTAAATAATTTTTTATGGCATAAACAGTGATTTCTAAAAATTATGAGTTTAAGAAATTGCGATTTTCATATGTATAAGCGCGGTACATGATGATGTATATGCATATGTATATAGAAAGAGATTTAAAACTTACTGTTATATGATATAATTTATATCAAAAACATATTTTATCATATTATTCTAAGTAAGTTGAAAGTTTTTAATATAATTTTATTGTATTCAAAAGTTATAAAAAATATCAAAAAGTGGTATTTACAAGGTAAAATATAAATAATATGGTTTATAAAAAATCATAAAGTTTTGTCATTATATATGTTTTTAAATTTTATGATATTAGATTAAAATTAAATGAGTAATTTTTTAATATTTTATTTAAATTGTAATATAATTTTTAAACTAATAAATTTCTGCTAAAGATATGGTTTTTAATAAAATTTTGTTTTAATTAGATATTATTCACAAAAAGATGAAAAAAATTTTAAGATTTTATATATATATTGTAATTATTCCTTCAAATGCAACCATGCATCGCGTATTGATTTTTCATTTTGACATTTCTTTGCTACTCCCTATAATAATATTTACAAGACAGCAACACTACAATAACCGAATGACATTCGTTTTCTTTCTTAGTCACTTTGTTATAGCAACAGAAAAATATAAGATATATTGTATTTGCTAAGGTGTTTTTATGTATCGTCTCCAGTTTTTCTTAAATAAATTAACAAAAATTTTTTGAAATATATTTTAATTAGTTTAGATTGCAATAAAGAAACATTAATGTCAAATAAAGAACGAAGAACGCCGTGACAAAGTAGAAACAAAAAAACGAAATTAAATATATATCGATTAAAAATATAACAGAAAAAGAAACATTCGGAAAATTGCAATAAAAAATTTGAACGATTGTATTCGTAAAATTAATTAATAATTATTATAAGGCAACGATTTGCATTTTTATATAGAAGTTGGCTTAGTGCAATACGAAAATGTTTTTGGGACGTGGAAAGCTTGAAGTAAAGATTGGTAAGTACAACCGTTTCATATGCATAAGGTGAGGCGTGAAGTGTTATAAATGCGCCACTTAAATCTCCAGTGTACAGAAGCTCACATTATATGTTTTCACATTGGCACAACATGTAATTTCATTACATTTCATTTCTACTAAAAATAAAAAATCGCGTTCAAAAATATTGCAATTAGTTGTGTGGGTCGAAGGTTTTTTTTATTGTTTTACATATAATGCACTTTTTCACCCCCTTCGTCGCAGTATGCGTTCCTTTGTGAAAATTTGTAATATTAAGTGAATGCATATGTGTTGTGTGAGTTCTGAGTAAGTGTAGTTGTGTCGAAGTGTTGTTTTTGTTAAAATTTTCATTGGCAATTTGTGAACCACAAAGAAGGTTCGTTGCACTTCACTGCCGGTTATCAAATGATAAATCATTTATATAAAACTGTTATCATAAACTATGTCAATTTTGAAATGAAGTTTATTTATAATGAACCCTACAATCTCCACAAGTAGTTGACAACTCTGTGATGATATCGTTATACCGAGTTCAAGGACGAATGCAACTTTGGAGCCTCGAAATGGAACTGTCATACGTTGAGTGTGGAATTGCGGCTTTTCTTTTTTGCACTGATAATGGATAATTGATATACTCTACTATTTGTAACACTACTATTTGCTGTAATTTTTATTAAATTGGCTCAAAGCCATATATATGTGAAAACGATGGTATATATTGCAATGTACTTGACCTTGTGTGTTGGACATTGGAAAATTTCCCTTACGTCCGGTCACCTTTCCGTCTGTCCGTATAAAGGCTGGGTAAATAAGCCATTTCCAAAGTAAGCCAACTGAATCTGGATCCACCACAATCATTCTATTATTATAATTATTATTGTTTAATCACAAAACCTTCAAAACTTTGGCTAAGGGGGGTGTCACTAACATGACGCTAGCTGACTGTAGTCTGAATTATTATACATTCAAATCTACTTGGATTTATCATAATAAATCGATATATCAAAATAAGTTCACTACATGGTCATTTCGTTTTATTAAAGTAAATGTAATGTGTTGTTTAGTTTTTATTCTTCCAAAAAATTCTAATATAACTGCATTTTTATTGTAATAAGTTAATTATTCTGTTTATAGTTAAAAATACTTAAGCTTCATTATTTAATTCGGCAAATAAATGATTTAAATGAATTGATATTTAATATGATCGAATGATATGATATAAATAACATGCGTTATCCAAGTGTTATTTGTATCGAAGACATGCAGTTCTTGTTTGTGTAAGCCGTAGAGTTATATCCAGCAGATAATAAGAAAGGAATTCGAAATACGTACACATGGGTTAGAATGAGAAATAGGTGATGATAATATGAGAGAGTGACTCTGTTTAAGAATGAATTGAGAATGAGTGAAATTTCAATTGAAGTCTGCCTTTGTCAATATAGAGAAATCTAGCCACTTCATTCCGGCGGGTTCAAAAATCGATTGGACTCAAATTATGAATTAACGTAGTTATGCCTGACAAGTAACTGTTAAGCTTTGAATGTGCTTTAAAATCACTATAAACTTCTACGAAAAATAAGTTCTAGAAAATACTAAGTGTGCGTTCTGGAGTGATACGTCGTCTATGGCAAATAACTCAAACTTTATTTTGATGCGGCGTACATTTGTTATTGTAAAACTTATGACAGTTATTCTGTCAGTTATTCTTTAATATTAAACATTAACATAGTTTTCATTTTCCAGTCTTATTATTAAAATAGTTAAAACTTTCATTGACAACTATCAGATTATTTTGGTGGGTTAGTTTTTACTCTACTAGGTTAGTTTTTTAATTCATACCCAACTGTTTATTAGAGAGTATTTTTGAGGACACGATAATCATTGAATTCTTGTTTTAAAAACTTGATTTCTCTAGTAACATCCAGAGCAGGCTCATATATGCATTGATAAATATGTTATTTCTCATAGGTCTGTTTTAGGGACTATTGATGATTCCAGTTAAATTTTACTTAATTCATTAAGTGAATATGATAAATTTCTCTAGACTCAGTGATAGATCTGCCATCCTGCTCTTCTAAATATTATACTGTTTAATTCAACTTATGCGTCGTGATATCTGAAAAATAAGCTATTTATTCAGAAGTTCCTTAAAATGATTTGTCATTCATTTTATAATTCATTGTAGTATGTATATATAGAATAATTTGTAATATAATGTTATTAGTTTAAAGATTCTAAAACTTATTGTTAGACTTTAAACCACAGCGATTCGATAAAGACATATTCTTAAATAAAAATAAAAAAAATTCATTAAGTAACCAGTCTTGTATAAGCACTATCAATTAATGCTATTTATTGAGTGATAATGAATAGTTTTTGAGTCTTCTCTACTTCAAATATGACAATTCTTTTTAATAAAGGTGCTAATATATAAGTAAACTTCATAGCATTATAGATTAGTATTCTATAAACATTATTTTAATAACCTTGAAGCAACTGACAAGCTTGCGAAGTTACGCGTACTAAGTTCCTTGACAGAGTTCAAATTTCTTGATGGATATTCTTTTATCAGACTAATTCAGTCTTAGAAATATAGTATATAAGCTATCCGAGGAGGTTTTGGCTGGGGCCAAATACTTAAGGCAGTTCAATTAGCTTGTCAATGTCAATAATTAAAACGACAAGTTTCTCAGTATAAATTGATCTGAACACAGATTACCCACTGGTTTTCTAATGGGACACGTTTCTGTTAAATAGGTAAAATATTTAAAAGGTGGGATTAAAGAACACTAACACCTGAAGATTCTGCGATTGCATTTCGGCCAACTTATTTGCTCATGCACGGTAATTGCCAGGAAACGGGCTTAGTACTTGAGTTAAGTTAAATGAGTTCTAAGAGTAATTAGAGCTGACAGGTTTGTCAACAGGCTAATGTCGTACAGGTCAACTAAGAAGACTCTCTCCAGAGATAGTACAACTTTATAAGAAATTGAACATAAGTTGCAAAACTACCAGAGATCTAGGATATACTTTCAACGGCTTAAGAAATTTAATATCATGAACTATAACCGTATTGAGATTAAGATTGTGCTATCTAAACTGAAAACTAAATCTAGCTTTTTTACCGAACTTATTCTTTTAGTAAAAAAGTGATGTGAAATATACATGTGTTATGTGTATATATAGTATTCCCTACTATACATTCCTATTCGTGGATGACTCATTGTATTTCAAAATTAGGAAATCAAAACAGTTCATGAAACTAATTAATTCTAATATATGTATACATGAATATATATTATTTTAAGTTTTCAACGAATATAAAAACTAATTTCGAGAAGCCCTACAGAAACTCTTTATTATGTTACAAAATCTATTATTTAAAAATCGTTTGTAATTCAATCTGAAAAACAATATTAATAAATACTCGTACAATATTAATCGCACATAGCAATTATTTGTTATCGTATAATATATATGTATATAATGTAAATAACATTATAATCACATATATGTGATGAGTCACTGACTGAGTAGCTAAGTTCGTACACAGCTATATTCAATTTGATTAGATTAGTCAAAGCAGTAATGAAATTAGTGAAATGTCGAAATTATATTCGCTTTTCTTACGAATCTCTCGCAATCCATTTTATTCTCGTTAATCTACACATGCTTTGTTTACCTTCGTATTATTATTTTATCTCGATTTGTGTTTGTTATCAGTTCATTTTCTTCTGCATTTTTAATATGATTATATAGTGAAGTCTTTGCACTTGTTCCATATGTATAGATAGATATATTATTTCTGTTATATGTATGTATATGCGTTTTTTTTGTGTTCATATTTATATCAATATTTGAATTTATATCAATATCTTAATAAATTTAAACACTTTATGATTGTCATGGGTTCAAAAAATATTGACCTTACCATAATTACATACAAACGTCAATTAGTCAGGAACAAGTTCAGCTTCAGTTTTAACAAGCCGTAAAAATAAAGTAAAAGTATTAACTAAGCTTTGAGATGAAATTAAAATGAAGACGTGCATTATAATGAACGATAAAGATAATAAATAACATTTGCACTTGTCAAAATATAATGTTTTAAATAAGATCTCCGATGCCTTTTAGTCTCAAAATACACTTCTGTTCAGAACACTCTCACTTTTTCACTAACACATACTCATTCTTCTTCGCAGATATAATTCGAAAGATATAATTCACTAACGGAAAAGTTTTTGAATAGTTTTAAAATGCAATTAAATTTAATTTTTAATTAAATGAATTTTTTTGGCTGATCACACAGCTGTTTTAAGTATTACTATACCTACATTCATAACCAGTGGTTTTTGAAAAAATATCCATTGGTTTTATAAAATGGTATATAATTAATTGTTATCAAATTAAAAACAATGACCTTGCATGTTTTTTTCGAACAACCTAAGTCTGCACGAAACTTTCTTCAATTTTGCGCAATTTAAATCTCTTCGGACATATAAAGTGTTTAATCCATGTATTCGAACTTCAATTTCAATATTTCTTTTTTTTTCGGTAGATGAACAGTATTGAAAGTCAAAGTGTAAGCTGGTTCATTTTCACTTCTAAACAATCCCCACCACCTTACACTACTATTACTCTTCCACATTGTATGTATACATATTTGTAATTATTATGTTGATGCTGTTTCGAGCTAGACCACTTAAGCACTTATACTCTTTTTTAACTCAAGTTAATTTCAAAACCCCTCTTTACACCTTGACTAGATTATTGTTTAGGACTTCATCAGACTAAGCAATAATTGACCTCAGATCTGCATACCTCCCCGAGGAGCCTTTAACCATTTTGAGATTTGATAACGCGGTGTTGGTAAGTCTGTCAGTTTTCGCAAATAATTTTAGGGCTCTATCCTTTAAGTATTTGTAAATCCTTTTATTATATCTGTTTGATAGATATTCGCAGGTTACAACAACAACAACAACAACAACAACAACCGTGTGTGCCCTTAAACCACTAAAACAAGTTTTTAGAAATGATTTGTAGAAAGATACACAGCACTTAGACTCAGACTCAGACTGTGAATCTCATTTCGATATATTACAAACATTTTTAGCTCCTTTTAAGGAAGCGAAGAATACTTGGAAGAGATTAGAAACTGATATTTGTGTCAATTACGACGTTGGGACGTAACGAGCAAGATAAAAAGAAATGTTCTATTGTGTCGCCATCCAAACAAAGTGAATATAAGCTATTCTCAACTATACTTAAAAAGGTGTTTCTGGCAGATGGTGTGGTCAGTGGTCGCAATTAGTAATCTATAGTACCTGCGACATAGTTTCATTAGAAAACCTTTGTCTTTTTCACTGACTGCAGATAAAACCAACACAACAGATTTAAGCAAGCCAAGAAATGATTAAATGTTTTGGGTTCATTGGTGAAATTGTTTTGTCTGTTCACATAGTTTTTTATACATTTACATTCATGGACTAGTTTTAATGACGCAATCGTATAGATCAGGGCTATAAATCCAGTTTGGTTGTCGTTAAGAACCACGTTCACTATCCTTTTAAATTTAAATTCAGAAATTAGTTCTATGGGTATCGAGATTCTACGAATTTTTGTTTGAGAGACAGATTTGTGTGAAACCAAGACAAAGTGGTATTTGCTGTTCAAATTGTCGAAAAATATACCACCTCCTTTTCAGTACTCAAGCCATTAGTAAAAAGTCATGAAAGAGCATTAGGTGTTATCAAGTGACCGTCCCAGTTCTGACGTCCCGAAATTAAAACACGGAAAGTATGAACTAACTGCAAGTTTGGTGTTTGGTGCATCTGCTGGTATTGTCGGCATATCTGTAGCAGTTTCTCTGAACTTTAGTTTGGATGGCGATACCAAACCAAATGCTGCTTCAGTCTGCTGATGACGTTGGCAGTTTCGCTGTAGTTAAACAAGTTTAGCGGGAGGAGGGTTCGTTTTTAGAGTAAATATTTTTGAAAAATAACTGTTAAACAATAAAGAAAATGATTATGTTATACATCCGACATGAAAAATTGATAAAAAAGAAATATATATAATAACGTGCAATATTTTGAACTGATAGTGATTGAACTGTTTGTGTCAATTTATCAAATCATTTTAAAAAAACTATATATGAACATATGAACTATATCCAGTTTGCTTATTAATTGCTTTAAATTTACTTATAGAAAAAGCGACAAGTGAGAATAATGTGAACGAAAATTGGGGATCAATACTCGATGTATGCGATATGGTCACTTCAAATACTGGTTCAGCTAAGGAATGTCTAAGAGCAATTTTGAAACGAATGAATCATGAAGATCCACATGTTATTATGCAGGCTATAACACTTTTGGATGCATGCTCAAGTAATTGTGGCAAGCCGTTCCATCTAGTGATTGCTTCATATGAGTTTGAAACTGAATTTCGACGCTTATTAACAAAATCACAACCAAAAGTGGCAGCTGTAAGTATTTTAATAACATTATGTTCTTATACACTTATATGTTTTCAATAAATCATTTATATATAACAATTATATATAACAGCGAATGTGTCAGGTGCTAAAATCTTGGGCTGAAACTGATTATAAAAAAGATCCTGAGCTAAATTTAATCCCTTCACTGTGCGAGAAACTTATGCATGAAGATTATGATTTTGGTAGTTTATCTGATAAACCAAAATCAAAATCATCTGCATCAAAGGAGCAAAATGCTGCAAATACTCAACAACAAGAAGAAGCTGAAATTGCCTATGCGATTCAACTATCGCTGAAAGATTCCAAATCTAGTCCGAAACATCAAGTTGGTTCTAGCAGTGCTACTAGTAACACCAGTTCAGCTTATGTATGTAGTAAAATTTTATATTTTAAACATATTCTCCATGTTGATTTTTTTTTCCATTAAATAAATAGCCTTCACTGTATCCATCAGTAGCGGGTGCCGGTTCGTTAGGAAGTGTTAATTCAACTGGTACTGGTTCCAATAATTCAGCAACATCACAAACAGAACCACGTAAAGTGCGTGCTTTATATGATTTTGAAGCTGCTGAAGAAAATGAATTGACTTTCTTTGCTGGTGAAATTATACACGTTTTAGATGATACAGATCCGAATTGGTGGAAGGGTATGAATCAACGTGGTGATGGTTTGTTCCCATCTAATTTTGTTACTGCAGACTTATCTGTTGATCCAGAACGTTTAGATATTAACCAACAAAGTAAGTCAAAGAAAAATGTACAATTTGATGATGACGTTAAGGAGCTGCAACAAAAGACTGAAGCTGCTGCCGTTGCAGCTGCCAATCAACAAGTTGAAATTGATGAAATAAAAATAGATCGTTTGCTGCATTTGTTGCATGAGGCAAATCCTGAAGATCCATCACAAGATAGCGATGAAATGTTACGCTTAGAACAAGAAGTACATCAAATGGGTCCTTTAATTGATGCAGAACTTGAACATATTGATCGCAAGCATGCACAATTAACGCAATTGTCGAGTGATTTGGTAGATGCAATTAATATGTATCATTCTTTGATGCGTGATGGTGCCATGATGAATAATGGTAATATTTTACGAAGTGGTAATATGATGCAACAATACCCAGGTTACGGTGCGTCTCCTGAACAGAGGGGGTCTACGTGGGGGTTACGTGGTTATGCTCCTCAAATGTCCGCTAACTATGGGCTTCATTCGTTACCATACAGCAATACAGGTCAATTACCACCAATGACAGTACCACCAACAAATGATGCATCAATTCCTAATACAGATATTATGGGTGTGCCTGGTAGTACTTTTCCACCAAACGCGCAGTTACCAATTTTAAGCGTTGGCCAGCAGCAAATATCTGTGCCAATGTCACTACAAAATGGACATCTTAATTCACAACCAATGAATAGCCTTATGAATGGTAAATATAGAGTTACGAATATATATTGATATATAATAATGCTTAAAGGGTGTGCTTGTAGTTAATATCTGGATCTTTGAAAGTTGTTGGTTAAAAAGTTTTAAGCATAAAACTATTTGATTAATTTATCAAATTTTTAATTTATTTTTAATTAATTGAATAATAAATTTAGTATTTGCTAAATTTTTTTATACAAATATATATAGTTAAAATTTCTATTTATTTCTATTTCTATTACATTAAAAGTTTTATTTTTGCGTACAAAAAATAGTTTTTTTTTGAGTTTTTCCTTTTTAAGGCACGAATATTAATTATTTTTGAAGAATATGATAGACAAATTTAATTATTATTTTTTATAATATATAACTGCGTATTCATCTTATATAGTTATTGTATTCAAATAAAAAAATTAAATTCATTTTAAATTCATTCTTTTTCATATAAGTTAAATTGTATAAATATTTATAATTATTATTAATAAGTATTATTTATTTTATATTTTTCTTTGTATTCATCTTATACCATATACCCAGCAGGAGAAAAAAATCGATGCATTAACACAAAGCATCTAAAAGTATCACTAAAAAATCGAAAATTTCATATAAAAATCATTTATATTTGTATATATATTTTATTATTATATGTATTTTAAAATAATAAATAAATAAATTAATATTATATTTTTTATTAAAAAGTTATATATAAGCGTATATGTGTATGCATAATATTGCGCATGAAAATATTGACGTGAAATACAGCATAAAACAATAAATTTGGCATATCGATTCCTTAAAGCTACTTAAAACCTCAATAAAGCATCAATGCATTTCGGATTCTTCTGGCATCGACACCACTATAAGCTGCTGGGTAGATATTGTATTTAAATAAAACAATTTATTTTTATATAAGTTAAATTATGTTATTATGTATTACTATTATTAATAAATATTGTCTATTGGCACACTTCTTATTTATCAGGTTAAGTGATTGTTTTTATTAAACTTCATTCAAATTTTTTTCATTAAAAATAAATTAAATTAAATTGTTTATTTTAACATTTACAGCATTGCCACACATAAATTCGTCAATGCCACTTGGACAACAAATGCAACATCCACATCCACATCCACAAAATTTTCAAATGTTACCACAGCAAACACAACAGCAATTACCACCACAATCGCAGTATCCACAGCA